TCTGAGCACAGCAGCCCGGGGAGCTGCCGGGAGAAGCAGGAGGGCAAAGCCCGACTCGGAGGCTGCGGTCGCCTGAGCAAAACTGACGGCGGAGGGCGTTAGTCCGGACTTGGTTGCAAGCCTCTGTGTCCAAATCCCATTTTGAGAAGCGTTCTTTTTGAGTTTGCAGTTGAATTAGCAGCGGCCCATAGAGCTTAAAATACCGACTTTATCTCGGAGAGCCCTGTGCCAGCTTGAGTGGTGCGTTTCCGATTCGGTTGAAAGCGCATTTCCTTTGGCAGCTGGGGGTGGGTGAGATGCCGGCGAGAACCCTGCAGCCGGAGAAGCTGGCGGCCTCGCCGATTACTCACATTCCGCTGCTCATTTAAGTATTGTTTGACGGAACAGTGTTCGCACTTGGAGCAAGTGAGATTCCGATCCGTTGGGCGCCCTCGAGATCAGAAAGTTCTTCACAATGCTGGGAGATGTTGTAAATATTTTCCAGTGGCGGTCATTCTTGTGCACAGGACCGTGTTTTTAAAGTCCCCGAGAGTTTGCAGGGGGCTTATCTACATTTATCGCCTGAGGATCACGATGGTTTTGTGGGATAGATCAGCTTCAATTCACACTGTGAGTGTGTTTTAAATGAAATTAAATTAATACCAGGAAATTTCCAGATCGGAAACATTCCACTAACTTCCAAGGTTTTAGACACTACATTTTAGATTTACTGTAATTCGAGAGCTCCTGATCGGAAGCTTATTCGTGTCATTCGTGCCCGTTGAACATTTGAAAAGGGGTCTATAAAATTATTTCTTGTTCTGGAACAAATTCCAGGCTTTTGAACGTATTCATCTTTAAATGTAATTCCTGTGTTTCTTAAAGTCACATCATGAATTTCCTGTTTGGTAGAATCTTCTGGGTAATTGAGATTGTGCAATTGTGTCCAGCAACAGATCATATTGCAAGATCTAGTTCAGGCTGCTTTAATTATGTTGCTGATGGCACCATACTTGACATCTTTTCCACGTTTCCGTAGTATGACGGACTGCATTTTAAGGGAATTTGCAGCATTTTACTGAATATACAGTTTATGTGTTATTGACTTGCTACTTTTCAAAGATGTATTTGGATCATTGCTCCTTTTATAGCTCATTAATCTGCTTTGTTTTTTACTCTTGAATTGACACATTAATTTTTGTAGTACCAAGTTTTTGTTACCAATGATGTTTACTTTAATGCAGGGATACAGTAGAATGGTCCAGCTATGATGAGTTTAGTGAACTTGAACTGCTTGCAAGGTTTCCCTGCCGTTGGTGTGAATAGCTCTGCACTGGAACTGGAGGTTCAGATTCACAGCGAAGTGACGTTAAAATGAACTCCACAATTCTTTAGCGCTAGTATTCTTTTCTGGCTTGGGAGCCAGAAATATCCGACACTTGGAAGTAATTTTGTTAAGCAGGTTTTAAAAAATGTGTAATGCACTCACATTGTACAACATTCAAAAGGTATACAAAGATATCCAGTGAAAAGTCTTTTCTTCCTGTTCTCCAGCCATGCTGTTCCTTTCCTCAGAGATAGCCCCTGTTAAGTCTCTTCAGTGTCCTTCCAGGAAGGCAGAGTTTGTTTGTTTTTTTTGTTTTTTAAGTAGTATTTCTCGGAAGGCGATTTAAGGTGTAACCTTTAGCACATTAGGGGAGGAAAGTACAGCTAATATATGTAACAATTGACTGTAGACAAATATAACTGATTTTGGATTAAAATCTCAGAATTTAGATTTACAAGTAAGTGTGTATATCATTCAGAGTAGTTATTTGGAGCTCTTTCAATTAGCAACTTTTCAGGTATGGCAGAAAATGCTCTATGAACTTCTCTTAGAATTCATTTTGAGCCTGTGTTATTTTTCACCATCTTCATCCTTTGAGCGTAGATTTTGGGAAATAACAAAATCAAGTTGAATCCAAACAATTTAGAGAATTTGTACTAAAGTCTGGTGAAAAAGATTAAGCAGTCAGGTTAGTGATACTGTTTTATGTCTAATAGGAGTCTCAACTAAAAAGTAATGACACAGCGTTTCTTGTGTGACTTGTAGAACTGGATCTGAAGTCTGTTCCCAAAAAGAATTTCTGAAGGTATTTTAAGGAATGCAGCATCAGTGGAATATGTGTCAGCTTCCTAATTTGATTGTTCTGAACTGCGATATGCCTTGATGTGTAACTTAAATTTTTTTTTATGTCAAGGCTATTTTTCATTATTTTAATTTGTGCAAAGTATATAATAAAAATGCAAATAGAGCTGGTGTGATGACCAACCACAAATCAAAGAGCAAGGAATCAGACTAGAAATTTGAGAATTGATAAAGTTTTACAACTATGCCTTTCCTTTTTAAGGGATAAAGGGAACTAAACTAAACCTTGCAGTTTAAGGAACTTTGTACTTTTGTGAGGGGAAATGAAGCAAAATTGTTTAAGAACAGTTGTTGCAAAGCATTGATTTTGTGGGTTTGGGACAGAAAGGGGGGAGGGAATCTTTGTGGTTAGTTTAAGGAAACATAAACAGGAACTTAAATGCCTTTTTCTAGGGTATGGTAACCATAAAATAGGTGAGAGTTGAGTATTACTCTTAAAACATATTCAATTACTTATTCAACGTATTTATTAAATACAAACTATGGACCTGTTAGTAGACTGGGTTTCTTGGGATAGAGTGCTGAACGAGACAGAGCAAGATAATACAGTCCCTCATAGAGCTTATAGCCAAATGTGAATAGAAACCACATTTTATGCATTGCTTACTATGTTACCAGGCATTGTGCTGTGAGATTTATATTTATCATCAGTATATAGAGTATATAACAAAACTTTTAGTGAGAGTTCGGCAAAATTTCTTAAATCCAGTTCCATGGATGCTTTGTGGAACAATTGTATATTAATAAATATAATAAATAAATTAAGCTAATTTTTTCAATATTAATGCCCATTCATCATTTAAAATCTTTCATTTTTATTTATTTACTTTGGATGAACCAGGACACAAATAAAAATATGTCATCGTCGAGTATATAAAGATGACTTTCTTCCCTGACCAGTTTGGCTCAGTGGATAGAGCATTGGCCTGTGGACTGAAGGGTCCCGGGTTCGATTCCGGTCAAGGGCATGTACCTTGGTTGCGGGCACATCCCCAGTGTGGGGTGTGCAGGAGGCAGCTGATCGATGTTTCTCTCTCATCGACGTTTCTAACTCTCTATCCCTCTCCCTTCCTCTCTGTAAAAAATCAATAAAAAATATATTTTTTAAAAAAGATGACTTTCTTGATATACTCAATGAGGCAGACTTGCCCTTTACTTTACTAGTGGTGACAGTAAGCCCATGCTGACCTTTTTTCCCATTTGTTTTTCTTGGTAACCAAAAGTAATGTGATTGGCTGCATATAATTAGTGCTAAACAATAAATATTTAAACACAATGGCAAATATTCGTATTGATATATAAAGACTTTTTTATTTTTTAATGTCTGTATTGATTTTATAGAGAGAGGAAGGAAGAGGGAGAGAGAGATAGAAACATTAATGTGAGGGAATCATGGATTGGCTGCCTCTTTCATGATGGAGCCCGCAACCCTGGCATGTACCCAGGAATCGAACCAGTGACCTCTTAGTGCAAGGGATGACGCTCAACCCACTGAGCCATGCTGGCCTGGCTATATATAAAGACTTTTAAGAAGAAGTTCAGTCAAGTTGGCTATGAAACCATTTTACTTATCAAATCTCACTTTGGGTATTCTGGACTGCCAGTTTTATTTCCTGACACTGAGGAGTACTCTACTTTTTATTTCACGCTAACTGTGTTGTTTGCCTCCCCCTATCCCTTCTTTTTGAAGAAAGGGGTTGCTGTGTCACTTGTCATAGAGCTGTGATTATATAAAGCCAATCCCACCAATGCCATTGCCCATAGTCTGAGGGGTAATGACTTAACTTATCTAAGTCGCATCTCTTCCTCAGAATTGATAAAACAAAAATGAACTTACTGTCCAGATTAAATTTTCTCCCCAAAGAATTATTAGGCAGTGCATGTAGTTAATTCCTGAATTTATGAATCTTGTTGATTTGAAATTCCTCAATGTGCATTTTGTAAAGTTGAGTCTTCTGTGTATGTTTGTGTTATGTAAGTATAGGACATAAATAGAAATAATTGTCTCTCTAGACCTTTGAAAATACATTGGATTTTTGCTCTTTACTGTGAAATTTGGTATTGATTTGTTCCTGTCCAAGAGGTATAATTACTGTAGTGCTTTTAAAAAAAATCCTCATTATAAAGTGGGTTCCCTGACTTGGAATCTAGGGATTCCAAGATTTCTTTAAACTTGAAATGTGCGTGTGTTTTTTTAAATAAAGCTTTCAGTATTAGAAGTAGTTTGTCTTTGCATAGTGCTTCCATAAATTAAGTATATATGTGTTAAGGATTTATAAAATTAACTGGCTTTTCAGCATTTCATTTTTTTACAGTTTTAGGGAAGAAGGAGATGGTGGTCTGTAAGTTCTGCATTTGAGAAATAGGTCCTGGCT